TAGCTTTGCAGACTAAGAAAAGGCCCCGTACTTGGCCCCATTGAAAGAGATTGTCTTCATATATGCTGACTTTCTCTTTAGCTTTGCAGACTAAGAAATTGAGGAAGAAGACGAATGAACAGAGACTAACTTCCAATCGTCCGTTACTGTTCATCTTAATTTTAGAAATGTACGTACGGTGCTCAGGCGTTGTTTCGTTTCGGTCTGGTTTTATGTTCTAATTATCTATAGTAAAGAAATTCATTCATCTGACAACTCCTTTTATCACTATCTCATGATCAGTTTTGGTTGCTGCACCTGCAATTCTCAGCACCCTGAGCACGTTGAAGTGCTGAAACGGAGGGCAATCTCTTTTTTTCTCAAAATAATTTCGCCCTCATATAAGTGCGCGACGTTATTAAGGAGGAATACAAAGGAATGATTTTTTTTTAAAGGATCCCAAATTAATGGAAATGCGTAATTTGATGAAATAATTGCCACGTTTCCATGTAGTCAAGTAATCTGAAGATAGCTGGAGTGATATTGCGTGACATCGATATTTACTTACTTTTAAGGTCAAAAGTCACAACATCTCGCCTTTCTACAGAAAATGAGTTTGCAGAGCAACAGATAAAAAAAAAAAAAAAGAAAAAACAAACAAACAAACAAGCAAAGAATTAAACATTACAAGCCGATTGTAAGCGCGTCCAGATTTAAGTTTTGAGTTTTAACGTATCGGTATGAATAATTGAACTTCATGTTTGTTCATACACTTCTGACATTTTCCAAGAGAAGTAGTGCGATTCCAAGCATCAAGTTTTGCACGGAAATGAGAAATAGCAGTATTTCAGGAAGATAGAGTTAAAAAGTGAAAAAATGAGGTATCAGGTACATATTTATCGCGTGAAAATGATCACCCATTTTTCGGTTCCACGTTAAGGGGTAGGTGAGGATGTTCTTTGAAGGGCTTAGATGATCACTAGTTCGATGCGTAAGAAAAAAAATTAACATAATGCAAATAGATGGGAATAGCTGTCCTTATACCGTGCGGACTTCGGTGCTGATTTATTTCATTTTAAGCCTTCAACGGGGCTCGGTTTCAGTGGTTAATTTTTGATAGTGCGTTATGCGGAGAACCGCACAGGATAACGGGAAAACCGCACTTTCAGATTTTCACAAATTTCTGAAAATTTAGAAATCGCTGAAACTTTAAAACTTTCTTTTTGAAAACAGTATACCAAAGGATATCTTTGGGAAAAATATGAGCAATTCACCAAAATGGTCGTTGACGAACGATTCTCGGTCCTGACAGCCATTCTTAAGTTGCCGTTGCTAGTTTTGCTATTACCTTTGTTTTTCGAGATAAAATGATGCACAACGGATATTCAATTTTATAATGTTTTCCCCTCTTTTCAAATTTGCCTTGTTTTGCTTCCCGCATGCGCTTCATACTATTTCAGTACGGTTCTTAGAGATATCAAATTGTTAACGATATGATACAAATGCACTGAATCATACTTGTAAAATTTTTCAGACGCGCTCTCATTTAATGTGAGGTGATGCGGCTACTGAATAATAATGTAAAATCTCGCACTATTGAGTCCTAACTAATATCATACCTTTTCTTCACAGACAAAATGAACAAATCTGAGCTTCAAGAAAGACTTCTCAGTCCGCAATTAACATAGATTTTAGTCTAGATGCATATGAACTACAAGACTGTCAGGCAAACATGACTTTTTGCATGACCGGCCGTGCTAACAATATTACATTAGATGCAATGAATATATGAAGTTCATATATTTTGAACTGCGGTATTAGATAGGCATGATGCACGATCCTCGCAGTAGAGAGCGCTATTTATGCAATAGCGAAAATCAGACCTGAAAAAAATCAGGCCTGTACGGGATTCGAACCACTGACCTTGGTCAGTGATTCAGAATTCGAACCACTGACCTTGGTCAGTGATTTGGGATTTGGACCACTGACCTTGATCAGGTCAGTGGTTTGAATCCCGTACAGGCCTGATTTTTTTCAGGTCTGATTTTCGCTATTGCATAAATAGCGCTCTCTACTGCGAGGATCGTGCATCATGCCTATCTAATACCGCAGTTCAAAATATATGAACTTCATATATTCATTGCATCTAATGTAATATTGTTAGCACGGCCGGTCATGCAAAAAGTCATGTTTGCCTGACAGTCTTGTAGTTCATATGCATCTAGACTAAAATCTATGTTAATTGCGGACTGAGAAGTCTTTCTTGAAGCTCAGATTTGTTCATTTTGTCTGTGAAGAAAAGGTATGATATTAGTTAGGACTCAATAGTGCGAGATTTTACATTATTATTCAGTAGCCGCATCACCTCACATTAAATGAGAGCGCGTCTGAAAAATTTTACAAGTATGATTCAGTGCATTTGTATCATATCGTTAACAATTTGATATCTCTAAGAACCGTACTGAAATAGTATGAAGCGCATGCGGGAAGCAAAACAAGGCAAATTTGAAAAGAGGGGAAAACATTATAAAATTGAATATCCGTTGTGCATCATTTTATCTCGAAAAACAAAGGTAATAGCAAAACTAGCAACGGCAACTTAAGAATGGCTGTCAGGACCGAGAATCGTTCGTCAACGACCATTTTGGTGAATTGCTCATATTTTTCCCAAAGATATCCTTTGGTATACTGTTTTCAAAAAGAAAGTTTTAAAGTTTCAGCGATTTCTAAATTTTCAGAAATTTGTGAAAATCTGAAAGTGCGGTTTTCCCGTTATCCTGTGCGGTTCTCCGCATAACGCACTATCAAAAATTAACCACTGAAACCGAGCCCCGTTGAAGGCTTAAAAT